GGAAAGAGTATAAAAAAGAATGCGTGTGTGTGGATCACTGAGTCACTGTGCTGCGCCGTAGAGATTTTTTGCCACAACGTTGTAAATCAACCCTATTTCAATTAAAAAAAAAAAAAAAGTTCAGTGGTAGAGGGCATGGTGGTGCCCTTCCATGGTGGAAGCACTCCAAGTTAGAGGCTTCCCTCGGATGTCTAGTGGTCCTTGGTTGTCCTTTCAGGGTTAAGAACAGGGGACTAAAAAGCTGATTGGAAGCTGGCTGACTTGCGGACCCACACTGGCTGACCTAAACAAGCCATTTGGAAACCATTTGGTTTCTGGTGTCAATATCTGTATCCTTAGGCCTTTCTTCTTGCACTGGTAAGATTCTCCAGAGAAGAAGGTAAGGTCTGGCTGCCACTATTCTAGGAGTCCAGTGGGGGACTAGCCTGGGGGGCTCAACCTCAGCGTTGAAAATAACCTTCATCTCCTTGGTTTTTGTTTATTACTCTCGCCGTCAACGGTGCTCGTCGACTCTCTGCGCAAAGACCCTCTGTTTTGTGCTCTCTAGAGAGTAAATCTTCAGACTTCTGGGGGAGGTGGATTTAGGGATTTTACTTCTTTCATTCGATCCTTTTTATTTTCACACATGCATCCTCTTCACCCCCTGGTCCTGGAGATACGTGGTGCTATCATGCCACGTGTCTTTAAAGGACTCTGTTATAAATCACTTGTCATGTGCTGTCTGAAATTTGCCTGCCACAAATCTGCTTCCCAGACCCCCACATTTTGTTGGTGGTGTCTCCTCTCTGTTCAGCCCAATCTTGTGACTTTATGTCTTCTTTATTTTATTTTTTTCTGGCAGCACCATGTGGCATGCGGGATCTTAGTGCCCCAACCAGGGTTCGAACCCGTGCGCCCTGCAATGGGAGCACGGAGTCTTAACCACTGGACCACCAGGGAAGTCCCTTTATGTCTTCTTTAAAAAAAATCTTTCTACTACATTGGATTTAGAAGGTAGTGCACTTGGGTGTGTAGATTCAAAATCCCATTCCTTTTCCACAGCAGTTTTGTAACTGGAGCGTTGAGGATGGTGACCATGTCAGTTGTGATACCGAGACATTTTCATGATAGGATTCCTCAAAACAACTTTTTTTAAGTTGTTATAAAATTATTCATGGCCACTGTGGACGTTAGCAGTATAAAGGAGAAAATAAAAGCTGCCTGTTGTGGCGGTAGGGCTCTTGGCAAGGGTTTTTATTTGGTGGTGGTTTTGTGGTGCAGCCCTTGGCGTGCGTGAGGAGGATGCTTTGGTGCCAGGAGCAGCAGGGCCGTCACGTCTTGGTAGACACACGCTGCTGTGTTGGGACCGTGGGCCCAAGAGCAGGTCTCTGCCCTCGGCAGGACTGCTTGGGAGAAGAAGGAAGCTTCTAAGGACGGGCGGGAAGCGCTGTGTTCAGGCCTGGACCTTGGCCACCACAGTGGGCTCTGGAGCTGTGCAGTGCAGGGCCTGCCCAGCCATGTGCTGGATGGTCTTAGGTGATGCTGGGTGGCTTTGCGGGACACTTAACTGACAAGGCTGTTCCATTGAGTTACACAAAGGAACCGAAAGACTGACCCAGGTCAGCTGTGTTTGCTGTGAGACAGTGTGCAGCTCATGTCAGAGGGGTGAGCAGAGGAAGGGGCGGAGGAAAGAGCCTTTCCTTTCCTTTCCGGGGTGTCTGCCGTCAGGGTCAACACCCTGTGATGTTCTGCTTTTCCCTCCCGCTTCCTTCCTCTTGTCACTAGCCACCAGAAGTTCTCTGAAAGTTTTTTCTTACAGAAGCCCCTGGATGTTTCTAGGCCTCAGGGCAGCATTGAGACAAATATCCGGGAGAGGGCTATCTGCCCTTGACTTACTTTGTGCCTGGCTCGGCTCGGACTCCATTCTAGGGCTCTCGGGGCTCCTGGAGATGGCCCAGCCTCGTAGGATCCTGCCCTTTGCCTTTGGGGCCTCCAACAGCTTGGCAGGGCAGGGCTAGAAGACGTTCTCGAAGATCATCTAGTCGACCTCTTCCATTTTATGGATGAGGAAACTAAGGGCCAGAGAAGTTCTTCCCGGGGTTCAGTGTTCTTCCCAGCCAGACCCTGCCTCTCTCAGCTTGCTCATCCTTTTGAAGGTTTTGATGTGGTTGGTGATCGGGGATATTTGTGCTAACAGACAAGGGGTGGGTTTGAGGAGGACTCGCGGGCTGGCTGATGATGGTCAGAAGCCTTGTGGAGTTCTGCGTTGGCCCGGTTGTCTGATGGGCTCTCGGGGTTGTTTCTGTGGGGTGGTGTAAGCTGGGGGGCAGAGCTTCATAGAGATGCCCTCAGAGCCCTAGAGTCAGAGATCTGGATTCAAGCCTCTGCCCTGACACTGAAACACGGATAAGCCTTAGCATTTTGCGGCCTTAGATTCAACAGTAGATGGTAGTAATACTTGTAGCTGCCCAAAGAGGAAGACCGTCCCGGGCTTTGCACCGCATGGGACACACGGAGTTGCTCTCCCTCCTGCACCCGCATAGCAGGAGGGAGACGTTCCTCGGCCCAGCACTGCGCCCAGCCTGGACCAGCGCTACACCTGCGGCTTCCTTAGGGCTCACCTGGGTGGGTGGGAGCACTTTCAGCCTGTCCAGGCTCTAACTTATGGGGCCCCTCGTGTCCGGGCCCTAAGGAGGCTCCTCCCAGCGCCAGCTTCCCCCTCCACACACCGCCACCTCCCAGCCCAGCGCCCACCCCTGGGGAGGGGCTGCACCCGTGGGAGACCCAAGCCTGCGCCTTCTCCGGTTCCTGGTTTTCCAGGGAGCTCTGGCTGGAGGGGGATGGGAGAAGCAGCCCTGGAGTGGGGTGGGGGGGGGGAGCGGGGGAAGCAGAACCGGGAACTGGAAGTGGAAGGGTGTGGGTGGGCCCGGATCCAGCCTGCCTCCCACTTTCCTCCTCCTGCCAGGCCCCTCCCCGTGCTGGCTGGCCCTCGGAGGCAGGGGCTGGGCCCAGGCTCCTCCTGGGGGGCGAAGAGCCGGAGATCTCTCTGCGGCTCCTCCGAGCCAAGGGGGTGAAGCCGCGACACCCCCCGCCCCCCGCCCCCGCCCCAGCTGAGGCCTGTGGCCTGGCCTTTGTTAGTTCACTGGCGTGAGGCCCGCACCTGAAGCAGGGAGGCCGAAAAGCCCCTAAAATTCAGCCATGTGCGTTCGCAGGGCCCCCTGGAGCCCACAGTTCCCCAGGGCAAGTGGGGCTGGTTCGCGGGGTGCCGGGGGAGCGGCCTGGCATCCTCCCTCGCTCGGTGAGGCTGCCGCCTCGCCCCCCGCCCCACCCCGGGGCGTCCCCTGGACAGCCCTGCAAAGCCAGGCCTTCAGCCTGGCCGCAGTCCGGGTTCACCCTCAGCCTTCTCCGGGCCCAGGCGCCGGCCTTAAAGTGAGGTGACATTCATCTCACTACATCCTGTGACTGCGGCTCACTTCCTCCACGTGGTGGGGGCCGGGTGGGGGTAGGGGCGCGGGGAGGACAGATCAGAAGGAAAATGTAGCCGGCTGGGGACCTCTGGGATTTCCCGGGGAATGATCTTTAAAGATAAATGTA